AGAGACTTCAATAGCTTGTAAGGATTTTGGTAATAAGGCCTCTTGCTCAACACATACTCAACAACTGCAGAATATCACAACTTTGAACAATCTTCCACATTTTCATTCGAGAAAGAGACGTTCTTATCAAAGCAAGGAATAAAAATTTAGTTAAAATTTGTAGTGTTAGAAGTATGAGAATATAAATTTTGGAATGACTTAGAAGACTTAATACAAATGATACCTCTAGAAGAAAGAATTTTTATTGGAGGATATTTAAATGGACATGTTGGTAGAGAGGTTTAAGATTTTAAAAATATTCAGGGTTGCTACGGTTTTAGAGTGATTAATGAAGAAGGTAGAGTCATATTAGATTTTGCTTTATCTTAAGATTTTGTTATTACTAATATTTTAATCAAGAAAAGAGATGAGCATATTATTACTTATAAGAATTGATCTAATAAAACATAAATTAATTATTTTCTTATGAGAAGAAGAGAACATCGAGAATGTAAAGATTGTAAGGTCATTCCAAGTGAGAATTTAAGTACTCAACATTGATTATTAATTCAAGATTTTAAGATGAAGGGTTGAAAATACAGAATACTATGAAATCGTTATTGTAGGATTGGATGGGAGCATCTAAAAGACACATAAAATTGTTTCTATGAGTAAACTTCAAGATTTGAAACTTTCATGAATGAGCAAATTCTATGTGGGATAAAGTAAAGAACGCCCTTAAACAAGTAGCAAAATGCTTACTTTGAGAATCGAAAGAAAAAGTTTATATAAATAAAAATAGTTTGTGGTAGAATAATAATGTGCAAGAATAGATAAAATACAATAAATTATGTTATAAAAATTTTTTCAAATGTAAAAGCTTAGAGAAATGAGAAAAATAAAAAATGACTCGTATGATATCTAAGAGAATAATCTGTGACGCTAAAAATTCTTCTATTAGTGATCTTTAAAATATATCAGATACTAAAGAGTGTGAAAAATATAAGTATAAACTAGTTAATTAAAGAGAAAAAAAAGTAAGGATTTAACTCAAGTAAAGTGTATTAAGGATGAAAACAAAAAAAAAAGTGTTTTTCTTAGAAAAAAGATATTCAACAAATGCGGGTGGGTTATTTTAATAATCATTTCAATAAAGTTTCTAAAAATACTATCGACCTTAATGATCATAATATCATTAATAATAATAAAATGTTTCATTTTTATCGTCGCATTAGTAAAAAAGAAAGTTGAGGAGGCTTTAAAGAAAATCAATTGTAGAAAGTCTATTGAACCTGATGATATCCCAATTGAAGTGTGGGAATATATAGAAGATTTGGGAGTTTTTTGGCTTACTAAACTCTTTAATATTATTGTAAAAATAAAAAAGATGTTTAAGGAGTGGAGGAATAGTATTTTGGTCCCCAATTTTAAGAATAAAGGGGATGCACAAGAGTGTGCAAATTATAGAGGAATTAAGTTGATGTGTCAAACTTTAAAAATATGGGAGATGGTAATTGACCATACGTTAAGACGTATTACAAAGTTTTCTCATAATCAATTTAAATTTATGTTGGGCGGGAGTACTATGGAAGTTATAAATTTATTGAGAGGTTCGATAGAGAAGTTCATAGAGAATAAGGATGATCCACATTTAATTTTTATTGATTTTGAAAAAGCTTATGATAAGGTTCCACAAATATCCTTTCGAGAGTTTTAGAGAAGAAAGGTATTGGTATGACTTATATTCAAGTCATTAAATATATGTATACTGGAGCTGTTACTTGTGTTCGAACAGAAGGAGGATTGACCAAATATTTTCAAGTCATTAAATATATGTATACTGGAGCTGTTACTTGTGTTCGAACAGAAGGAGGATTGACCAAATATTTTCTTATTTCAGTTGCATTACATTAGGAATAGCTTTAAGCCAGTATCTTTTTACTTTTGTTATAGATGCTCTTCTGAACATTTACAGGAGGATGTACCATGGTGTATGCTTTTCGCTGATGACATCCTTCTCGTGGATAAGACTAGAGAGAAATCTTAGGAAAAAACTTGAAATATGGAGGTCTACATTGGATTCTAAAGGCCTTTGTTTGAGTAGAGCTACAACTGAATACATGGAATGTAATTTTAGCAATAGTATCTCTAGTGATAGAGTTGTAACTATGGGTGATCAAATTATTAAAAGGTGTGAACACTTTAGATATCTCAAGTATATTGTTCAAAGTGATTGAGATATAGATGAGTATGTTATTAATAGAATTTAAGTTGGTTGGTTAAGGTGGAGGACTTTTTCGGGCCTATTGTGTGATAGAAACATACCGCTTAGATTGAAAGGAAAGAGGATGGTGAAGCCTGCAATGCTCTATGGCGCGGGATGTTGGCCTTTTAAAGAGAAGCATAAAACTAAGTTAAGTGTTGTCGAGATGAAAATGCTTAGGTGGATGAGTGGCTTTACACTTGGAGACAAAATGTGAAATGAATATATTCGTGATAGGGTTGGTGTAGCTCCAATATAAGCTATAGTTAGAGAGAATCATCTTAGATGGTTTGGTCACATCAGACGCCAACCATATGATGATCTGATAAGAAGAGTAGATGTTCTAGATTCGATTTGTGTTAATAATAGCAGAGGTAGACCAGAAAAGACTTGGGCATATTGAATAAAAATGATCTTAATTTATTAAAATTAAATAAAAATATGACGCTCAATAGGACTCATGTAGCCAACCCCATTTAGTGGGATAAAGGTTTGTTGTTGTTGTTGTTGGAGTATGAGAAGAGATCAACACTTTCCAATAAAGGGAAGACTTAGGTCCAAGGATGGAACCATCTCTTAAAGAAGGGAGGGGGTGGAGGGGTGAGAGGGAAGTAAAGAGGTCCATAAGATGTAAAAGGGGAATATGCATCAAAAAACAAGCAAGAAGACAAGAAGAAAAAAAAAAAGAAAAATGGTGCAAAAGGGTTCATGCCCCCATGCTGAGCATGGATGAGCAAGGTGACAAGAAGAAGATACATATTTTATAAGGAAAATATGCGGCCTAAGTGGACTATTAGTAGAAAATATAATTAAATATGCGAGCCCACTTAGATAATTAAATTTGTATTATGTGCTATTATGAAATTTTCACTTCTTCTTTTATTCATTTATTTATTTATTGAATGTGACAACCTTAGTATATGATCCATACTAACCATTTAATTAGAAGTTTCCAAAAATAATATTTATCTCCAAAATATTATTTTCCTTGTGACTTTTTTACACACATTTTTTTCTTAGAGAAAAAAAAAACAGAGAGTAGACCAACTACTTATAATCTAATATTTTAGAAATACAACATTTACAAAAATACCACGCAATTTTTATGTATTTATATATTTAGACCTAAATTTTATCTTTTTCATTTATACCTCTCAAAATTTTCCTATCACATCGAAATATTAGAGTGAAATATATCTTTTCATCGGTAATAAAATGACATATCTAAACTTCATCTGTGGTGCAGCTGCAGATGATCAGCTATAACTTTGCTGTCACAGAAAATAGTTGCGAAGAAGCTGCTGCTGAGAAGCTGGCTTGACTGATTGTTTTAGCTGATTGAAAAAAATTGTGTGACAGTTGTTTTTGGACAAATGACTATTGTTTAGTAACATTGTTTATAACAAAACTATTATAAACATATATTTGGTACTTCATAAACAAAAAGCCAAATTTGATGATTTTTTGAGTCGCGCAGCTTCACCCACATAGCCTCAACCACAACAAAATCAAGTCATGCAGTAAATTCGAGTCACACACCCACACCCATACAAACTCATCTACAACAATTTCGAGGCATACAAGAAATTCGAGCCACACTGCCACATCCACACGAAAAATTATTCCATACGGATCGGACACCGCACGCAGCTTGCGTGCAGTGTGATCCGGACCGTAAATTACTTGATCTACGGTCCCGATGTATTTCGGTGGGCCCCACTTAATTTTTTTTTTATATATATAAAAAACAGAAATACCGTAGATCACCGTGATCTACGGCCAGGATCGGACACCGCATGCAGAGATGCATGCGGTGTCCGCACGCAATAATACCCCCATTCACACAGCCTCATCCACGAAAAAATAGGGTTATACACCAAATTCGAGCCACACAACCACATGCCACACATCCATACCATCGAACAATATTCACATCTAACATCACAAATCCAACGAACAAACTTTCACACTTGTTAGAAAAGAAAAAAATGCTTGCCGATGGGGAACAGCGGAGGAAGATGAGGAAGAGGAACCACACAGCGTGAGAAATGCAGGAGAAGAGGAAGAGGAACCATGTAGAGGTAGCGTGACAAACGTCAAAGAAGAGGAGGAAGAAGATGAGAGATCACAACTTCCAGGTCGAGCACGGGGTTAAGCCGAACGATTCAAGTTAGGGCAAAATAATAGAGGACACGAGGGTAAAAAGCCGAACGGGGACAATGGGCCTCTAGACGGCCCACATTATGATTAAAACACCACAAACCACCCCAAACAATCGAAAAAAGCAAGTATATGTTAACAATGAGCCGCAAAAGAATAAGTAGAAACAGCAATCATAGAAGAGAGACATAAGAGACATGGTCACACCCACCACAACAAAAGTTACAAATAAACCCCCCTCTCAACAGAAATTACAAATATACCCCTCTCCCACCTAAACATCAAACAAAAATAAGAGAGAAAATTCGAGATTTAAAAATATAGAAAAATTATTAGGTGTGGATTAATTATGAAAATCCGCATGCGTGCTCCCACCTAATAATTGCTTTTAAACGTGCGACGGAGATCTCTATAGGGCAACGGAGACGGTTCGCCCCGCCGGGGGCGGCGGCGGCGATCCAGCCTGTCCCCATCCTGGAGGCGGCGCTGGGCGGCGACGCCGGCGCGTCTGAAGAAGGCTCTCCGGCGGGGGGTGAAGAGGAGGAACCTGATGGTGTTGGGACAGAGGGCGGCGGAGCGGTGGTCGGCGGGGAGTGGGTGGAGCTCTCGGTGGTGGCGGCAGGGTGGGCGCCGGGCCGCCGGGAGGCGGGGCTACGGTTTGCGCTAAGGAAGTGGAGACGATGAGAACAAGGAATAGAGAAAGAATCGTAATGGTGGAAGCCATTTTTATTTTCTTATAACTATAGCAGCGAAAAAGAAAATGAGAAAGAGAGAGAGATTGGGTTGGAGCTGTACAGCTTTTACCATGGCTTTTTAAAGCACACAGCGACGACCATGTCGCTGCAGCAGAATATTTTTATATATATTACGTTAATAATAATAATAATAATAATAATAATAATAATAATAATAGAGTCCCAGTCATCGCTCATGCTCCTATAATTCCAGTAGCACACCCTACATTCGGAAAAATTTTT